TTTGTCTCTCACAATTGAGGTATACCTATGATGAAAATTACAGGCCTCTCTCATCTTTTTAAGTGGGAGAACTTGCACAATTGGTGGCTGACTAAATACTTTTTTGCCCCACTGTAATTAGTTATAAAAAATGGGGAGGGAGCTGCCCTAAGGAATCCAGACATAAAAGTGTTATTGGGAAATTCAAGCTGCCATCAAGATACCATCCAAGCCTGCAAAAAAACAAAAACTGAGCAATCAATCAGGATAGAGGTTTCTTTGTCTCTCAAGTTAGCTTTTGAAAAGATGAGAGAGCAGACTCAATTGTGCGTTTGCTTTTACTTTCTAATTCAAGAAGACTGGAGGGAGGGGAATCTCCCCAGCTAGTTTTGGCCAGGTAAGGACCAACCTCCCCAATCCTGGAATGAGAATTGCTGAATTAAAAGAAATGAGTGATCTAGGGTAAACATCAAACAATATACAATTAGACTTCTTTGGTTAATTGGTTTTATGGATTTATCTGAGTTTTTCTTTGTGTCCTTGCTATGAAACGTGTGTGCGTGTGTGAGCACGCAGGTTCCTTGCTGCTGGCAGGAATTCTGATTTCTTAGTTTCTTTCCCATTCCCTTCTAAGGCAAACTGGTTCTTGAATTTAACATACATAATAAAAGGCTTATATTTTCTAATTATATGTTACATTCATTCTTTTGGGGAAGTGGTACAACACCCCTTGCAGCTCTGACACTATAAAAAAGAATAGAAGCAGGAGGATCTTCCCACTTTCCTCCTCCAAAGTAAAAGCACGGGGGGAAATTTGTCCCTGAATGAAAGTGGTGGCAACAGCCTATTAAAAGGCTCTTCCCAGCTGCTGGGAGAATGCAGGGGGAACTGCTGCATGTGTCAGATTCCCCCCATTTGGGAGTCAAGTACCCCAACCAAATTCTGGCTCCCATGAGATACTGCTTGCACTTGCAGAAGGCTTATGTTCCCATTATAATGACATCTCCCTGAACCAGATAACGAAGCTTCAAGCCGAAACATAATATTAATGAGGGATTTTGACTATTATAATATCTGGAACTGTTAACTTTGCTAAGAGTGGAACATGCAATATATATGCTGACAACTAAGTGGAGAAGGAGCAAGCAGATCTGATATCTTGGACTTTATCTAGAAGAGCAAGAAACAGTGAAATAAAAATGATGGGAACTTTAAAGGGAAATTAACGTTATCATCTAAGCATTCATGACACTGAAGACACCGAAACTACACACAGTAGATTGTGTACCATGGATTTTAAGAAATCCAATTTCAGAATGGCTTTCAGAAAGAAGTTGAGCACATTCTCAAAACTAAACATTTTGATAAGAAAGATGCCCTGTGTAAAACTGCAGTGTGAGAATATGACAAATTAAATGCTGAAGACTCACTGACAAACTTTCCATATGAGAATGGAAAAAGTGAAACCTAGGTTGCATGGAAATTTTCTAACAAGTCAAGGCCTTAGAGTTAGAATTAGGGATATATAACCAAAGAGATATAAAACAGAATAGCAAAAACCTATGAGACCAGCCTGAGATCAATGATGGACAACTTTATAGAAAAGTTTATTAAATGCTAGGAACCAACATAAATTTATCAAGAATAAGCCATGGTAGAACAACTTTATTTTCTTTTTGGTAACTATTAATCTTATAGATCATGAAAACAATAATGTTTTTGACAAAATCTACTAATTGAATCTACAGCTGATTGAGAGACATATCCAACAAGTGCTCTCTAATGGCTCAATGTGAGTTTGGAAAAAGTTCTTGAACCAAGTCTACAGGATTCTGTGTTGACCAATGTTTTAATAAATGACTTGGGCAATCCTAGTAAACCTTAGATAGGGAGCAAAATCAAGTTTTAAAAGTTCTTAACAGATTGGAACATGAGCCAAAAGTAACAAAATGAAGTATAGAAGATTAAAATATATTGCTATAGAATGGAAAAGATTTAGCTGGGTCCAGACCATGTGACAAGAATTTAGGAATTTTAATGAATTACAAGCTAAATATGAGATAGCAGTGCTGCAATTTAATGGTTCACAGTCAAGCAAAGCAATCTACTGTATTATATCCTATGCTTGAAAACTATATTCAGGCTCAAAAGATATTGACAATCTGAATATTCTAAAGAATAGAGATTAGGATGAAATGACCAAAAAACTATGAAAATCATGTGATATGTTTCGCCTAGAGAGAAGATTAAGGGAATATATGATATAAGCCTCCGAGTATCAGAAAAATTATGATAAAACAGAGCACTGCTTTCTATGGCTCAGGAGAAAAGGATTTTGCAAGAAGACAGGTTTTATCTCAACATTAAGAGAAACTCCCTACTGTAAGAGATACTTAAACAATGGAATAGACAAAGTTGGGCAATGATGAGGTTCCCTTTTGCTGGAAATACAAAGCAGAGGTGGCCAGCCATCTGTCAGAGCGATTATGGCTGTACCCTTCAGGTTTTATGCCACACAGTCTTATGGCCCTTCCAACATAATGATTTGATAGAGGATAAAACAAATTAGAGATAATAGCTTGAATTCAAAAAATCTGCATACATACCAAAGTTCCCTTACCACCTCCCTCTTGCAAAATTTTGTAAATTTGTAATAATCAGGTACTATGCAAATCCCCAAGGTATCTGCTGTAGTGAAAGAAACTGAGTAAAAGCTCAGAGAAAGCTAGCTACCATTTATGTATTAGTAGCATGCACTGATTGATGTGTTATCATGTCTGATAATGTACGCATGCCTCCTTTATCAGATTCTCTTTAGTTCTATTGTATTAAAGAAGCTACTAAAATTGTTTTTGAAAATAATGACATAAATGAGCTTTAAATATGTATAAATGAAAAAAAAATATTCAGTACTTGCCTGCAAGTGCCCATTCCCCAGTGCCATGAGAATGACCACTGTAGTATAATATATAGGTATCATGCCTAGGTCCATCTGATGTCCGAAGTTCAAGAAAAGACTTTAGTTTAGAATGTAATGTGTCAAATGAAAGTCCACTTGTGGAATAATCACAACCATAAGTCTCAATCATATGATACGCAAAGAACCTTTGGATCGCATTAAGCATGCCTGTTGACCTCAAATTTAGCTCTTGCACATGCTCAGGTGGAAGCAATGTTGGTTGGCCATCAGGACTGAAGGAAAGAGAAGGGAAAAAAAAATGGAAAAAGTTGTGTAATGAATACAACTTCTTGTGATTTTATAAGTTTCTTCACTGTCCAATGTTATATTATGAAATAATTCACCATTGTGACTGCTTACATTTTAAAACCGGAATGGTCAGTTACAAATGGCTTAAATTAGCAGCCTAAACCTTGGAAGATTTCTGTGTCTCATTGACAATATATGCAATGGACATAGTTTTTAACATAGTCCTAGTTCTCACTGATGTGCTAAGTATGAATATCTATCTGTTTTCTGATATTTATATGGAGGTAGATTTTTGTCTAGATGAGCATTCAACCAAGTGAAGTGGTTTTACTCAGACATTATTAGCCACTTCAACAAAACCTAGTTGTAATCAGCAGAAATACACAGGCACCAATTATTCTATGGCCTAGAAGAAAACACCCCCTCATTTTTCTATTAGTTTTATTTGACAGGAATTCAAGATGCTATTGTAACCTTTTCCTTTGCCTCGAGGCTCATTCATCACTTCCCTGCAATCTGTTCACCTCCCAGAAAGATGAGATGCCACAAGAAGCACCAACAGTTACTGATATCAAGTTTTTAAATCCAAAACTATTGCAGAAAGCAGGTAAACAGCCAAGCTGGAATGAACAGAAGAAGTTTTCCAGGGAAAAGAAATAATAGTAATAGAACTTCAGTTGGAAAGTTTCTCTTTTTAAAAATTTGACCTGAACTTGCTCTTAGGAAGGATTCCATCCCGAACAAAGAGCAGTTAACGTTACAATTGTTTTTCTTTCTTAAAGTTTAGTTAGAACTGCGTGCTAAGTCAGTTTTAATGACAAATTATCACATCCCCATGAATTCCTCTAATATGGCACGTGCAGCTTCTCAGAATAAGATTAGGATAAGTAAAGGAAAAAAAGACCACGCAAATCTAGTAGGTAAATTAGTATCCATTAGATGACTATGATATACTAAATAACATGTAAGCATTAACTCTTACCTGCAAAAATTGGTAGGGATCACAATCGCATAGCCAACACATGTGCCTCCCAAACACTGTCCCAGTTCATGAAATAACCCATGAGCCATAGATTCAAGGGGCAAGACAATCAAAAAAACACTCATGAAGATTCCATTGGATTTCTACAATAAATGAATTTGTTATTTGTTGTAAGAGATGAATTCATACAATTACAGTTTATCAGTTTGCAAATGTGAATGAAAATACAGGATATTTAAAATCACAATTTCTTTAAACATGATCCAAATGCAATAATCTTAACCAGTGCTAACTCTGAATTTGGTCCTAACCTCATCCAATAAAAAGTTCAATAATACACACTATGGCTTTAACAAAATTATAGCTATAGATGCTTATTAAATATGATATGCACAGACTCAGCCAAATATTTACATTAGAAGGCCTAGTTCTTGTATTTCCAATTAAAAAAAGTATTAATATTTTTTACATAAATGTGCATTTTTCAGGAAAACAAGGAAAATGATGATGGAATAATAATTTATGTTCACTGATAAACAATTGAGTGCCACTGAAGTGGAAACAAGTATAAACTTTTTTTTTCCCCTATTGCCCAGCTGAGTTAACGGATACTTGTCCTGTTTCCTGATGGCCTTGGGAGGCAACTGCAATACATTTACATAACAGTTCTCCCTAGCCTGAAAACTATTTGTCCCTGCCTCACCAGTCTTAGTTCTTATAAACATAATGAAACAATGCTAAGCATAAGGAAATTAATAGAAGCCATTGTTAAAATAATAATTATGTTGATTCAGTGACTAAAAGCAAATGGAAAGGGACCAGCTGATGATAAGGAGACAGAGAAATTCAAGGAGCTGCTTCCTAAAATTAGAGAAACAATGATATCCTTAAACTATGAAGGCAGTTAAGTTTGCTCTGAAGGCAACTTGGTTTACAGATCTTTTAACTTTCCGCAAGAAACTAAAATTAGTGTAACTTCAACAATCCCAGTTAGACAAACAGCTGATAGAACTAAAAGACATTTCCTGTCTTGTTGGGGGGGAAAAAAAGAGATAAGAGAAAAAGAGAGGCACTTCATATTGATATATAAAAACAAAGAGAAATGTATTGAAAATAACTAGCTTATTTTAAACAAGAGAGACTTTGGTCATGTCTTGTGACAATCCAAAGAGTCATTCTGTAATTAAGCATGGAGAATTATTTTGTAGATATATGTCTTCAGAGAAGAATAACCCCATACCACCACTTCATACAGTGCTATTGTTAAATAAAATGTTTTCTCTCTCTCTCTCTCTCACCAATCAGTCAAGCGGTGAGCCACACAACAAAAAGGATTGTCCTTTTTTTTTAGCTCAATGAAAATCTTAGGTATACAGAGAGGGCATGATGGGTCCATTTCAAAGCATAATACTCTATCTTGCTTTTATTTTTTTGTTGAAAGCATTAGCCATAATTGTTTTATAATCTCCCTTTTTTGCTACACATACTTCAAAGAAAATTTGACAGAAGACTGTAAAAGCATTAAAACATACCTGCCAACATACTGCACCCAAAATTGTTGTTGCAAGAAGGCTGAAAAAGACAAGTTGCTCTGAAATTAAACAAAAATGGCGCATTCCTTTAGATGCCATTACTCTGTCAAGGCTGTTGTTCTCTGCCCTGTGTGTGTAATATATTTTGTGACAGTCATTAAGTTTTGTATGAAATCCCCAGAGAGTTATAAGAAAAATGATGTGACAGATCATCCAGAAAATGCCAAAAATGGAAAAGCCTGGTATTACAAAATACCAGAGATCCAAATCACCCAGCTTAAGTGCTGAGAGGATGAAAGAAATCAGTTCAATAAGTCCAATAAAAATTACTGAAAATCTTCGGCAAACTCGACCACGATACAAATAAGGTTTCCAACGTTCTGTAACTGAAAGTCCACTGAAATAAACATCAAGAAGGGGATCAGCTATTAGGCAACTAAAAAAACATCCCAAGGCAAATGGATTTGTTGGTATGTGCAAGGATGGAAAAAATAACAAAGAGGCAAGAACTCCAAAAATTACCAAATTTGGAATTGCCAAGAATGATTTCATCCTCAAATCAATAATCAGCATTGCTAAAGCCACAATCAACAGAATTATACTCATGCATTTTTCTACCAGCATAGTTGTACTGGCAATTGCAAATCCAACCAGCTCGAGTACTTCGACTGTTGTTAGTAAAGTGGGTCGATGCTGAATGCAGCCACATATTCTCTGCACCAAAGCATACAATATTCTTATAATTATGGAGGAAAGAAGTAAATATTTTGTTGCTTCTTCCTTCACATCATTTTTAAAAGAATTATTATCCAGGAAACAAAGAAGGCCAAGTAAAAATCCAAACCAAAGATTAGAAAGACTTAAACTTGCTGCTTCCATTGAAAAATAGTAATAAAGTATACTTGCAATTCCAAGAACAAATAGTCCAAGGATAAAAATTATGAGTATTAGGGCATCTGCAGTTTTTTCCCACCTGACATAAAGACCCATACATATTGCAGCCAAAAAATTCATTCTGGCTAAATAGCCCAGGTAGCGGACAGAGGAATGCATGTTCACTTCTCGATTTGCTTCTTCCAGTCTTGTCATTGCTGCATACAGGCAATGGCTAACGCAGTAACGCAATGATCTACACATGTAAGCAGACTAGTAGGGATTATGTCCACTTCAAAGAAAATAAATGTTTGAATTTCATCCAAGAAATATGATGCAAAAGCAGCCTTGCAGTATTGTTTCATTTATAATTCTCAGGCACTACTGAATCTCTGAAAGACAAACATAACAACTTCACATTAAAAATATATTACATCAAATAAACAGATACAATAAATCTGCATCCTTACATACTGTTTTTCAACAAGAGATAATGTAGGCAATTAAACTCTTAATATAGTAAATAAGAATCCAGAAGTGGCATTTATTTTACATGTTGAATCTGCAAAGTACATACTCTAAATTATTCAGCTTTAATTTCTTACTGAAGAAGAGAGACAGTATTGTGTAATGGTTAAAGAGGTGGACTAGAAGTGGGGAAACCCAGGTCCTAGTCCTTCCTGGGCATGGAAGGCAGCTGGGTGATACTGAGCAAGTCCCTCCCTCTCAGCCCAAATCAGTGTCAGATTTTATGACAAGCCAGCTGGAAAATGAAGCTTTGTTGCATCATGTATTGACAGCTTCATCATAAGAACTGTGAGTGCAGTGGAAACAAGTGAATCCTGCAATGAAGCAGGACAAATGCTGGGAACAACTGAAGAAGGGCAATAATTGAAAAAGAATGTTTAAGAAATTACTCTATTTATCTGGGGATGTCACTTATTTCTACCTCTTTTTCCTCATGTCTTGATTTTGCCATTTCCCTCATTATGTTGATTTTGCCATTCTTTTAAAAAGTCTTCCATATATTTAGTAGGAGAGATGCCATATATTTCCTGAACACAGCCTTGCTTCCACTCTAGAAAAATGTGTGGAATATTTATTTAAAGAATTTATATGACCATCCACCTTGTAAAAGTGTAACTTCAGGCAGCATAGAAAAATGAAAAATTCTGTACTCGTGTCTCAATATGAATGAGAAAATGATTGTATGTATACAGATAGCATATTAATTCATTTTACAAAGGGGTGTAAAACTGCATCATAGAGACAAATTATAGCTCACCAGCATCATTTTTACGGCCCCCAAGCATCTTGATGTGGATACAGCCAAAAATGTAGGGTGATATTCTCCCCCCCATTTTTGCAGTGTTTGGAAGAAATTTATGGGGCAACATGGGGGTGCCTTAGGCCTTGTAAAATGTCGCAGGAAGGTTTTCAAGAGTAAAATGGCCTTTAAGTCCTGTCCATCCACCTCACACCTTTAAAACCCTTAAAGTCAAGTCTGGAAACTACCCTTCCTGACTTCTGGAAGGTAGCCTTCCTTGTTACCCAAGACCTGTTGCAGCTTTTAAACCAATGGAAGTTGCATACACCTGCTGTGCCAAATTAATTTATGTAATTATTAATTATTTAATTTTCTGTTCTGTTCTTGTTCTTTTTAGAGTGTGGTTATATACAGTATAAGTATGCCAGAAGTGGGGGGAGGGGTCATGAGGATTCATTTTATCTGGAATTGGCAACTACAGATTGACAGGATAAGAAAGCTGAACATTGCATCGGACTTATTTTGTGTATGTATTATTTTTTCCTGAGGGGAAAGTCAACTCCCTTTTTTGTTTAAATGCAATTTTATAGTTGACTATTATCTGTCTTTTGAATTCTCTGCCATTTTTCAGCTTTGCTTTAATTTTGTATAGGCTAGGAGAAGGGGAATTGATAGAATTATTGAAGAATATCCAAATGCATTGTAAGACTATTACCTATTGTTTCAGATTAAGAGGTTATTATGCACTGTCATATCATTTAACTTTTTCCAGCATATAGAAACAAGTGGGTCTTTATGCAAACAATGAAAGAAAAAAAATCATGCAGTTTAATTGTCAGCTGCCAAAATGTTTATGCAAAATTACAGAAAATTATCATCCTTAAAGCATTAAAATATAATCATCCTTAAAGCATTAAAATATACTAACCTAAATGTTGAATTTATTTTAAATTTAAGCTAATCTGGAAAAAGGTTCAGTTATGTCCTTTTGACTAGTTCAAAATTTCTTTAAGAACCTACCAGTACTGATCAAACTACTAAACTAGAATAGTACTTACAGGAATTATGCAAAATGCTCATTTCAATGCAAAAGAATAGATAGCCATACACTTTGGTTCATTAGGAAAAGAAAAACAAATCCAGCAGTATTTTATTTTCAAAACACGCTAATCTGCTGTTGCTGCTCCTTTGTCCCAACAACCCTAAATGATGGTTAAAAACTGTTTTCTTACATAAGAACTCAATCTAATTATTTCTGAACACAACTGATCCAGCATTTCACGTTAAACTGTTTTTAGCTTGGTTGTATGCCGCCCAGAGTCGCCTATGGTGAGATGGGCGGCTATATAAATTGATTTAATAAATAAACAAAATCCTGGGCATTTTAAACATCTCAAATCGACTTTTATCCCACCTTCATTTAACATGCAGAGCGAGGTATTCAGGAAAACTAGAAAACGTGTTTCCTATTTAGTGCTATTTGGGGAAAACTTCGATTTCCTAACCAATTAAGAGAGGGAGTGTAAAACGGGGTTAAGGCGAGGTGGGCATCTATAGGGTGGCGGGTGGGCAGGACGCCCATCTGAGTGGCTCACAGGCAACCGGGTACACCACTTCAGCAGAGCGACTGCTTGCTGCTGGCAAACTAAGAGCCTGGCAGAGCAGCGGGCACGCAACCGCTAGCTGAGGAAGAAGGCTGGGGAGACAGACCGACGGCCTTCTTTCCAACGTCAAGCGGGGCAACCGCCCCCCATCATATCCGAGGCACAGTAAAGGTATGGTAGCCGGAAGAGGCAACGGCCGAAGACCCTCGGAAGCCTCGGCTTTCACCTCCCGCCTCTGTCCTAACCGAAGATCAAGCCGTGGCGTCCCGCGTGATTAGCATCCCGGGTTACCTCTTCCCTCGCAACTCACCGTCCGCCACTTCCTCCCAAAACTTCCCCTCCTGCCGCCATTTTAGCGCTTCCTCCTGAGTGTTCCGGGTGGGTACGGGGAGAGCGAAGGTTCAAATCGCGCAACGCGCTGCTCCCTGAGCGCGTGAGAACTCCCCTGACCCAGACCGGGAAGGCTGAACGGGAGGGCGAAAGCGGCAACTCGAAGGCGCGGCTCTTTAACGGGCGTTTTTTCCTTCGAGAGTTAAGAGCTGGTAGCCGCGCAAAGAGACGCCATCCCTTCCTTCCTTCCTTCCTTCTTTATTTATTTACTTACTTACTATAACCGCCCATTTCAAACAAGTGACTCTGGGAGGCGAACAATTATTCCTCCAAAGCGGGGTTCTTGAATCCTTTTCGATCATGCTGCGTCCCGTCGCAAGAGCGTCGGATGGCATCTCGTTGCGCTCAGCCTGTTTACTTATCCAGGGTTTATAGGATAAATCATTCCCGGCGAGGAGGCAAAGTTCTCCTAAGACTCTTAAACGAAACCAAACAAATCGCGTTATGATTTAACAGTGTTTTTCAACCTTGGCAGCTTTAAGATGTGTGGACTTCAACTCCCAGAATCCCCCAGCCAGGGAATTCTGGGCGTTGAAGTCCAGACATCTTAAGGTTGCCAAGGATGAAAAACACTGATTCAGCAGAATGGGCTCAGTCGCTGCTAGTGAAGGTGAAGGCTCTTTTTATTCCCCAATGCAAGTGGATGGAGTAGGCTGCCTTTAACACCCAACTGCAGAGTTTGTTGTGGTAGGAATGGAGATGCCTTACAAACCTAATTGTGGTGATGCAGAGTCTATGCCTGGCAGAGCTGCTGTGGATTAAAAATGGCTTACTTCATGTATCGGAACTTGGTTTGAAACCCAGATTGGATCACATCTATTTGGTACCTTAATGGGACATGGGAGATCACCAGGGCTGTAGGTCAGGCTGCAAACTCACATATTTCAAAAGCAGGCAATAAATGACTCCAACATAGTCACTGAGGGTTCAGTCTGATCCAAAGGTGTTTTTTTCATTGTCTCTTGCACAGAGGGCCGTATCTACTTGCACTTTAAATCCACAACAGTATGCTCCAAAAACTGTGACCTTAATTTCTAGCTTAGTATTTAACTAAACTTTGGTTGTCTCGGTGCACCTGATTGAAAACAGTTTTTTTACATAAACTGACACTCTCAGTACAGCAACAACGAAAAACATATACTACCTTGTAGCCTTTGGGGCAGCTAGATCATCTGCTTCTGGATGTTGCAAGAAGCATAGATGTATCCAGAACATGGTCATACCCCTTTCCTTTTAATCACTGGTCAATATTGCAATTCTTTTTCAATATATGACCTCTAGAACTGGGTTTTTTCCTTGCTCCTTTTAATACCAATATGTGAAGATATTTAAATGAACACGGCTAGTTGCTCCTTGCAGCCCAGTTCTCATATTCACACCTATCTACTCAGCAGTGAGCACAGCACTGTTCAGCACAATCTGTTATGGAAGCTTCAGAAGATGAATTATCTTAATGAGCTGGACAACCAAATGTATGTCAATCTGGATGACTTTAAATCAGCACCTCTACTGAAAGAAAAGGAGCAGCTGTTGTGATGCTAGCAACCCATCCTTCGACAGTATCCGCTGGCAGTAACAGAAGAACTGAAAGCTACTTTTAAAATGAGAAATAGATTGCTGCATTGAACGCTTTTTACAAATCAATTTTTTCATTGTGTCACTTTGCAAATTGTTTAAACATGACAACTCAGTGTCATTTCTCTCCTTGAAAATTTATAACAATTTAACAAAAGCAGTAGAAACTAGTCCAGTGACAAAAGGCAAGCTTGTTCATAGATGCTGGAAGTATATAAGAGTTCAATGTTTTAATGAAGAGCAAATACACAAGATTGAATGAATTGTGATTGATGCTTGGTATCAATACTTCTCAAACATAGAAATATGAAAATCCTAAAGAACAATTAAAGGTTAATCATGTTTCCAAAGAGGTACCACATAGTGTAACAAGCCAGTTTAATCTCAGTTGTTGAATAAGCTACAATTGGCTCGATTCCAACATTACATTAAACTGTAAACAGATTTAAAAACCAAAAACCAGGGTACAACCAACAAAGCAAGCCACAGAATGTGTTAACTCAGTGTCTTCCAGAGCAAGGTATTATTTGGTTGATATGGGAGAAATCCCTTTTTTGGCATTATGTTATTACTGATCTATATAAACAGTTGCTCTCAAGATTGTGTATAAATATAACCAAGCACTATTATGGCTTTTGTTATAAAATATTATTTTATATTCTCTAATTCTCTATTACTAATGTAATAATGGCAGTTTTGCTTTCTTGATCATTCAAGGCAAACTGAATGAAATAGTGTATATCAACACTACTCAGTTAAACTGTTGATATGATACATTTCTCCTGATGTGCTCTCTCTGAGAACTTAAAGAAAAAAAGCGACATTTTGTGGTATACTTGGAAAGGGTATCTTCCTTGTTAACCCTAGGATTTTGGAAAGTCTGACAAATCTACACAGCTGTCTTGAAATTTGTATATCCAGTCAAAATATATCCAGTAAAACATAGTAAGTAATTTAAAATATCACCATACCTACAAACATTCAGGAAAAACAACATACTTTTCACCAAGCCACCAGGTATTACTGGCCAATATCTACCCTTCAAACATGAAGCTATTTCATCTACGTATATCTTGACCTGGATTAGGCATCAGAATGAGTTGGAAAACAATGACATTACCACATACATACACACAACATAAATGCATCATACTATGGAGTTTTGAGACCTTTTTGCTAATTAAACAGTACATCATGCATATTCTGGATACGTAAACAGGAAACAATATTATTATGGGAAGAGGGATAAAGCTAACATATTTTTAAACTATTCCAACAATACTAAAAGGAGAAAGCTTTTTAATTCTAGTTAAAAGGAATCTTTAACTAGAAGGCAACTTTTGCCTGACCGGTAAATAGTTTTGTTCAAAGGCCATTTGAAAAGTTGCTTAGATGTGGAATATCGGCTGCAAGCTTTCTAGCACCATTTTCACAAATGTAGCTCATCCATACCCCACTTTTGCTTTATCTGTGGGGTAAGTGGTTTGCCAATCTGACTTAGGAGCTGGAAATCACTGTCCTTTATTTATTTAGTTCATGTTTCACTAGTGAATGCATTTAGATAAGGATTAACAAAATTCAAAAGTGTGATTTTTTTATCACAAACTTATAGAAGATAGGATGAAAAGCTGGATTTGTAATACTGGTGTAAGGGGAAGTACACTAATTTTCTGCACCAAGATTGGTTTCTAGCAATGCTAGCATTTCTACCATTTAATAGCAGTTACTTTCAGTGTTGCTGTGAGAATAATACTTGAGCCTGGGAATGGTATATAAAAAGATTTTGGGGGGAATTGGAGAGAATATTTCCAAGTTAACTGCCTAAGGCTAAGGCCAAAAGACATATTATTTTTTAAAATAGGTGACATTAGAAGGGGCAGATTTGGTAACCTAGCCTTACCTGTCTTGCCTAAGATACTACTGTGTCTATCTCTGTCCCACGAAACTGATTTATTTCACATTATACAATTTATACACACTAGGATAAATTTAGTATGGTTACTATCAGTACTGCAATTTGAATATTTATGAACTTTTAAAAATACATTATATGCAAAGCAATACTATACCATGGATTACTCAACACACAAGGTAAAAAGCAAATCACAAGGTAAAAAGTCAGTTGTGAAACTTCAGTGCAAAAAATTAGTGGTAAAGCATTGTAATTTTTTTTAAAAACCCTCCATAAACACTTTTCTTTCAAACTGTGCAGTGACATTCCTGAAATGGCTGGTCAATATTAATACTACCATTTCTGAAACTGTAAAACTATTTTTTCTTTTAGCTGTTGATTTATATATCCCAAAATATATTGGCTGCATCCTCATTCAGATAGCAAACATAAATGCATTTAGTCAGTTATGAAGTCAGGAAGTGATCCTTAGCTATTTGAATGTAACTATTCTGGGGCAGTTAAGAACAGAAATGCTGGGGTTGTTCTTAAAACAAAATCTATTATACTTCATTTTTAACTAGAATGAATGAAATTAATATTAACTTTTGAACTTCATATTCTAATGCAGATTAGCTATCTAGTCTGGCATCTAGACATAGAAGTAGGCAACAATCTTCTATTTTCTCCCATTCCCTAAAAATGTTTATATATGCTTAGGATCAGACCCAATTCCATATATTCTCATTGCTTTAACTATCAAGTTATAAAACATCAGCAATGTTATCTAGTTTTCCTACTTAAGTAGTTTGATTCAGAAAGTTTGGTAAAGCGGTGTAATCAAAACAATGGCAAGAACACTAGTTGTGAGGTAATTTAAAAAACCTGTTTATGCTCATGTGTATTATATTTCATTCCAGGAATCGTAAGGGTAATAGGATCTGTATTTTGTGAAAGTGCTCCAGTTGCAAATACAACTTAAGTGAAGTCATTTTGCAGTTATTTCCATTCACCAGATCAACATTAACTCAAGCAAAACTTTTTTTTGTTCAAGTTCAAGGCTAACAAAGCTTTCTAAACATATTTCTTAGACATTTAACAGTGCATATCATCTCTTTTTGTGCAAACCTTTGAGAAATGCTATCACGAATCCCAACCAAAAGGATTAAAAGTATCAAACCAGGGCACATCAGCATAGAATGCAGAATCACAGTTCACAGCACTGGAAGGGGATGGTACCTTTCTAGAATATTACTAAGTAAACCCTGTTCATGCTATGGCATGAGCCATTCTGCATAAAACACGTTAATTTTTCAATACAAGAATACATTTTAAAATTTGTAAGTACAAAAAAATAGTAATAGTTTTCAAAACCTTTAGCATTTCCTTTTTTGTAAATGCTTCATGTGCAGAGCAGATGTCGATTTAGCAAAATTAGTTTTACAGGAAAAGGAATTTGGACTCTGAAGCAGATTTTAATTGTTACATTAACTTAAAAGCAATATAGGATCTTCTAGTTCATAGAAGGGTATAGAGCTAGCCTGGCTTTCCCCAGAATCTGAGTCATAAGGAGCATCTGGAAGCTCCATGAAGCTACAGGCCAGTTGTTCATCTTCAACATCTGATCGGATATAGCAGGAATTATTAGAAAATTCTTCCTCTTCCACAGTGTTGAAATCCTGGGGAATGTATAGCATCCCTGGATAGTTCCTGCTCACCAAGTCACTTGTTGTTTTCAGTGAGATTTTCCTAAAGGCCATCAAATGCATATGAGAAAACTTTGAGTATTTGAAACGTTTAAAACCTAAAGATTCTATAGCAATTTTCCAACTTTTCATCATCATAGCGTGGCGATTCTGATGGGAAGAGTCAGGAGTGATAATAAGAAGCAATCCATTTAATACAAGTAGTTCATGGGCCTTTTTGCAACATATCCATCGTTGATAGGGTGAAGGGAAATAAGAAAGGAGGAGGGAAAAGACCACAACATGAAACAGTTCTCCAGGCAGGGAATCAATAGGATTCTTCAACTGTTTCAAAAAAGCATCAATGGCATCTTGGGCAAGCTGAAGAGGCTGATGAATCTGAAGGTTTAAAAAGTCACATTTGTAGACACTCTGGGGGAAGAAATACAAATGCAGTGATATATGGGTGTACGAGTAAGTAAGATGATGACTCAGTTAAAGAATTCTTAAAATCAATAATAGAACTTTTAGTTGATCGATTACATTTTTATCTGGGTATACTATTTTTCAAGTTAAGCAAGCAGCATGCATTGGTTTTAGGTAACGTATGTGTGTTTTTGTCTATATGAAGAAAAAGGGATATGTAATAAAATACATATTTTATGAATGGATTTTGGTTACTGTTGTTTGTGAACAGAACTGAGAGGGGAGCAATTTCTTCCTCAACCCTGCTATACTTTCAAAATCTGCTCTGGAGCCTCTGAGATTCTACAGAGTAGAGATTTGTGGGGGGAGGAGAGGGACCTGGAAGGGGAAGAGTAAAACAGAAAGTCTTGTTCTGTAAGCAGACCAATTTGTTAATTATGGACCTTGGCCCTCCCTCCAAAATACTATACTTTATGAAATATGAGAAACAATGAACTACGAAACTGAAAATAATAATCCAGAATATATAGCTAAATCCAGTAATTGAATCCAAAGTATATGGCACATAAGTGAATACTCGAGCTTTAACCATACTATACCCCAAGCAATGAGCTTAGATATACTATAGTAAAGCTGAAGTTGTCCATACTTTACACTTAACTATTTATTAATATATGCACTTTCTCTCTACATAAAAAGCACTCTGGAAGATATTAATCAAAAGGCAATTGTAAGAGATACATACATTATTATTTTAGTTTTTTTCCTAATAAAAGAAACAACCATTATATAAATAATACATTTTATGATTTTATTATCTACTTTTTGGACAAGTTGCACTGTTATTATTTCATACCTCAACAGCTGGGACAATATCAATACCAACAGTCAAAAACTCTTCAAACTTCAAAAATGGATTAAAACAGCTGCCAACATCAAGTAATCTTATCTTTCCTGAAGGATGTAGCAATCTAAACGGAAGAAAAAAAAATGAAATCTATCTCCAAAACCCCACAACCTTAATCATGGAAATTCATGAGTAAGATCTGCATAGAAATAATTGAACCTTTTTGATCTTGTAGGTACTCAGTGAGGTAATGTTTGAACTGAGTTTTTATTTAAACAATAGATTATACAACATGTCAAATTTTGAAAGATATGGAACATTCAGTGAACTTCTGGCTCACGAGATACACATTTGGCAATATGGCACCAGATCTAGCTGCTGTGTATGTAACAAGAAAATCTGTATTTTCCAAGTTCTAATGTATACAGCAATTAAAATACATATTATGCCTATACAATGAGTACTAACAAAAAAGCCTATTTTATATTTTTCATCTAACTTGACTGCTTAATTTGGGATATTTTAATTCTGTACAATACATTACTATGTAGCCATAGTTTATGAAAGATGTATCTATCCTAATTTATACCAGTTTTAACTGTCATGGTTTTCCCCAATGAACTCTGAAAAATTTAGTTTGATAGTGGCAATATTTTTATTGTTGTTAGAGAGCTATACAACCTGCTCCTAACAAGAAAGAGTAACTGGTTGTATAAGTCAGTTGCATTTAAATCACACTGGTTTTAAACAGGAAAGCTACATCACACAATTAACCAATGTATCAAGCACAGTAATACTTAAGAGTCCTATTATTTATCCAAATTAATAAATTCAAAATATTATACAAAAATTAACTACCTACTCATAATCACATTAGACACTTACTCATCCAATACAGAACTAAGGCTTGAATTATCAGTAGAAACCTCCATTTTTGAACTTGGATGAACACTTGCAGTTTGAATGCTTTTAGTAGCAAGAGCTGCTCTTTTCTCATCTTTTTCCAGTGCCTTCCGTTTTCCACCATTTTGAAAATATTCCCTGGATACACTTAAGGCAGAAAGGCAAAGACAGCTTTTTTAAAAAAACATGTTTCTATGGTATATGGGATTTAAAACACAATAATTATTCCATATTAAGATAGTATAATTTAAACTAATTACACTTCATCGGAAAGCATATAAAATTAAATGGATTTAAGCTAAATGTTAAAATAACTGCAGAAACTGTTCAGGAGTGTGCAATTCTTCCAATGATCCATGCAGACCTGTAGAATTGCATGTACCTCACCATTTCCCCTCTGTTCCACTTCATCCTTCATTATTTTTCTTTCCTGCATCCTGCATCTTCAGCACTATTTTCTATGGCAAGTTATTCTATCTAGAAAACACTTATGTTTCCTATTTCATCTAGGAATTAAAAACAATGATCAAACTGTCAGTTCCGAAATGAAGACTCTTTCATATGATTGCAAGGTGAAGACCACAGAATTCCTATGCCTATGCCAAAGAGTTCATAGTTTTGCTAATGGCTTTGAATACATATTAGAAAACATGGAGGACAATATTGTATGGGATCCTGTGGGACATCACATATCCAGTGCCACAAGATAAAGCACAAGTTCCAAATTACTTTTGAAACCAACTTTGCAAGTAAAACTGAATCCTCATGGCTTTCAATCCTAGCCCACAGAACTGGATTAATAGTCATTGGTACTGAAAGCTGCCAAAAGTTTACAGAAAATCAACATTATCACAGTATCCCAATCTCTCTCCAAATAAAGATATCTCTACTAAGTTTGTTTTGTGCTGAACCTAAGCCTAATACATACTGTATTGAGTTTTGATCAGGAGTAGGCAATCTGATACTCCCTATATATTTAGAATTTCAACACTCAAGCAAGTAAAACCAAAAGCCAAGAAGTGGGACAATATAGTAAAAAAAAGGTTCAGAGGGTATCATATTTTTTTTTACAATTTATGTCTGGTAAAAATAATCTATTTTATTCAAGAATGCTTAGAACTGGATTATTATCATTCTCTTGATATAAGGCTAAAAACAGAAAATTCACAGTTGATTGATAGTTGTTATTAACGTTTAGGTCCAGTGAGGCTTTCCTCAAGAGTGTCTCACAAATTTCTACTTCATTACAGATAGACTTTTGTCTATCAGGTACTGATGACCTTCTGGACCCATTCAGTCCATCCCTTTCAGCTTGATTAAAAACAATTAAGACAGGCATGGGTTAAGAATATAGGTGGATGGTTGGACCTCTTCAAGCATCTTTTCCATATTCTCAGGCTGCAAAATGCATCCCACCAAACTGGAAATTTATAGCACTCCCAGTATCTTCCAAAAAGCCTGTGAGAGAAACATTTTCAATAATATATAGCATCTCCTTTCATTAGACTATGTAAAGATTTACCTGCAGCACCATTCAATGCGACCTTCTCCTTCACAAGTTTTAGCCCAGTGATTATCCGCCAGGTTTTTCATTGCCTCAGCATATTCATAGAGAGTTTCTTCATCCTCACAATGTTCTCGCCATATTTTATCAAAGTCACCCACTAAAAAAACAAAACAAAAACAAAAAAACAAAACACATACACACATCATATGGGAGCAGCTATTAAAACTTCACTGTGAAAGAAACCACAATGAGATAGGATACAGTATATCCCTATACATTTCCTACTTAACAAAACTCACTATGTAATGTGATGTTATAAAACAACTGATCCATAGAATTCTACCCCTTCCCTGGCTTACTTGAGGATAAGAATATATCCATCAGGACATCAGCTCTAAAAAGGACTTTCCCTGTGATAGTGCTTCCCTTTCCGATTGTTCATGCCTGAAACATCTTGTGCCATGATTTCTGAAGTGAAGAAATTTGAAAAATAGATGTCATTCCTTCACACTTCTCTCCCATGCCTGGTAAAAGATATGTAATTCCCTAATCAAAAATTTCTACTTGTTTTGCTGACTTAGCAGGCAAACTGCACATACCAAATTATTAATACAACAAACTATTACTTTCTAACCACCATGTCATAAAACTTTTCATCGCACTGGTGCAATTGACACTGATGACTGCATAGTAAGGAAGCAGAATCTCAGATTCAGCTAAGGCACTATTTCTCAGGCCTGTGATCAGGAGCAGTTACTTCAGGGCACTCACAAGTAACTTGACATGGCAGACTGCCACAGCTCATTTTGGCCTTCACCTACAACCAACCAAAACTGGCGGACTCAACAAAGTAGGAGCACCATGAAGCAATAGGTTTCATTGAACAGCGTGTCTCTCTCTGCATGTGTGTGAGAGAATCATCCTACACACACACACACATGTCTGTGTATGTGTACAGATGGGGCCACCCACTTAAAAGAAAGTATTATTTAGATTTTTATCTATTTCCCCCAGTGAGGCCCACATAGCAGTAAAAAAATAGAAAAAATTTTAACAAAACAAATAAAATATTCTTTACAAAGTAAGTATGAAAAATAAAACAAAGTTCATTAACAAATCTAAGAAGCAGAAACAATTGTTCACTATAGCCAACTGAATGCCTTCAGCTGTTGATTAAAAGAACAGAGTGTGGAGACACAGGAACAAGTTTCATAATTGGGACTGCCATCTTGAAGGCCCTACTCCTTATCATCACACTGTGAATTGAACCCTTTAGTAAAAAGACAAACTGGGCCCCACCTGATTTCAATGCAGGAGTTGGGTGGTATTGGGAGAACAATTTTTAAAAAAATATTTGATTCTTCAAACATTTAGAGTGTTATAGATGAAAGTTAGTTTCTTAAACTGGGCCTGATATTCCATAAACAAGTAAGGGCAGTGTTTTTCCAGTGGTTCCATGTTAGTTGCCCAGCTTAACAATTCAGATGCTGCATGACATCAGTTGTCGCTTCCAGATAATCTTCAAGGATAATCCCGTGTAGAGTATATTGCAGTAATCCAGTTCTGAAGTTTTAGGGACATGGAAAACTGAGGCTAGGCTATCGCAATCCAAATAAGGTCTTATCTGGCAAACTAGCTAAGTGTAGGTACAGGCCCTCCTTGTCTCTGAAGTCCCTAATGCATCAAGTCAGAGACTGCAGGTAAGGAGAACCCCTCGCTCTGCATTAATTCCTTCAAAAGGAATATGCTATATTGTCCAAAACAGGCCACCTTTTTAATTCCCAGGCCTCAGAACTACCTATTTATAGTATTTCCATATGAATTCAGCTTCAGTTTCCTGACTGCACCCACTTTCTCAGTCTTCAGGCAACTGTTAAGTACAGTACCTGCACAACTTCTCCTAACTGAGATGGAAAGAGGAGATACCATAAGCATAGTGATATCAAATATCTGAACTACCACGCCCAAGTGCTTCATGTAGATACTGGAAGAAGAAAAAAGAAACCTATGGGACTGTCACTAATTAAGCACAATGAAGCCCAACAGAAATCAATGACTGTCACTCTTGGCGGTGACCCTACAGTTTAAAAAAACACAGCCATGTTAGACCCTCCCTACTAGATCTTAACAGTCATACTGAGCAAATTATTAGAGAAAAGGTAGTTTGCTTATCCTTCCCAATAACAATCCGGCCACAATAACAAGTTAATTAGTTAATGCTCACATGAACTTATGTGCAGTAATTTTGTGGGCCAATTTAGAGCAGATGTGGATGATTTTAATCTTCAAAATGCTTCACAAATATATTGCAGTAGACTGCTAAATGATATGCTGCCTCAGGACTAACTTTGAGCAGTAATCTACCACCCAAGGAGGTTTTGCTGGGTTGCTTTCTGAAGATGTAATGATGGCAGAGAAATAAACACTTTTGGTTGCTATCACTGCAACATTATAGACGGAAGTGTTCTGACTTGTGGTTAGTCATATTCATTACAAGCTTTGTTCTAGCAATCTAATGATTTTTGCTATACTGCACACAGTTCTTCAGTAAACCAAAAGAGCATTCTAGGCAACCTGTAATTGGAGAGGTACTCAGGAACAATAGCATCAACATCCATTGTCTGCTCACTGTACCACTGTAGGTCCAGTGCTGTGAACTACCAACGTATTATCTGAGAATGTTAATTAAGTCCTCAGATTTCATACGTCTCCAAGGGTAAATCTTAACTGGTCCCCTGATAGTTAAAATTTCACCAGTAATGATCTTTTCATCCAAATGGAGTAATGATCATACTATGAATTAGCCATTCACTTCTAATCTGTTCCTTTTCCCCCTGCCCCAATAATCCATGGTTGTCATGGCACAATTGAATTAGTTGTCAGCCTTAATGTTGATATGGAAGTTTCCAGAAAAACTGTACTAAGTTTCTCCAAGACCATTTTGACAACTGCCTTTGACAGGAAAGATGGGCAGCAAAGTTCCAAACCTCAGACAGATGAGAGAGAGAGATTCTGACAAATAAATGCAATCCTGTTCCCCTTCCTTCTGGCATACGCTGGTCCTATATTAAGTACGTGGCCTGGCAGAACTGGGTCAAGACTGCGTCTACTAGCCTGTTCTCAGTTATGTAAACCAGGTAACCTCTTTCATCCATGATCATATCATGAATGAATTCTTTTATCCATTCTGTGCTAACAGGACCACAAAAAGGGGATGTCAGCATGCCAATACAAGATTTGTTGGCAGGGAGCCAGGCTGGTCAAATTAGTTACCTTATAGCTTTACTCTAGTGATAAACTAATTCCTTCTCTACCCTATTCCCTAAAACCTTGCTGATGACAGCATTTTGGACTCTATCAAGATCCCACTTAACCCCTTTCATTTAACATATATACATTTCCCCAAAGACCTGTAAAAGAGAATGGCACATTTGGTTTGACCTGTAGAAATTTACTGTACAGGCAATAAAATATAAAGCCAGAACATTTATGCAGAAAAGACATGTTAACAAAGACTCTGTAATAATAACCCACTCTTTTTAAAATCCTGCTCTGTCACTTTCATACTCCTTTTCCCTAGTGGTACTTCCTTTTACTAAGAAGTTCCAAGGGGGTTGGCACATTTTTTCCCATTTGGACTCTCACTTCAAGTGAATTTTTCTACAGCCACTCTCTGTCAGAAACTGGGGTTCTTTGGCCTTTGAGTAGTTCAAAGAGAGTTGTTTCATTTATCTGTTGTACCTTGTGAAGTATCTCTTTTGAACACTTTGAACAACCCTGTTTTAGAGTCATTCCACCTCTGATTCTAATGGTACCATTAAATTATCATAACTAGTAGCCATTGATAACCTTGTGTTCTACAAATTTGTCTTTGATGTCAGGGAGGTGTTGTTCTCTCAACTACTCAAAGGCCAAAGAACCCCAGTTCTTAATAATAACCCCAATCATTAAAGCAGCTGAATCTTTTGCAAGGCTTGGGCAACTGCTTCAAAAATTGTCCCTGGCCCTGAGAGGGCATGCACAGCCACTTCATAAAGGACAGTGTCAGGACAAGACCCTTGTGAAGGATAAGCGAACTACATGTTCTCTAAACTACTATCTTCAGCTCTGATTATTTGTGTGTAATTGTATATCTAGTTTAAAATATTATCAAATTTAAATTTCCAGAAAAGTAAGTAGGCCAGTATGAATATTCAGTTATGTGGAGCAATATTTTCCACTTTAAAATGTCCTGTTTTATAAAACTGATTAGTAATCGAAAGAATGACCACAAGAAAAATAAAGTTAGAATACTAGTTAAAACGAATTAAGTGTTTATGCAGCTTTTGATAAGTTAAAATGAGAAGATTTTTCAGTAGCTAATTTTCTACCTTAAAATGTCAACTTTCAGAGAAGTGTATGCTATTGATTTATATGTAAAGATATTTGTATATATTCAGATAAATTCCAAGAACTGAACTGGTTTGAACGGAACATTTAAACAACGTGTTTTTCTCCTATGAATGAAGTATTTTTCTTCATCTGCTTTTGGCAAATAACTGTAACACCAAAAGTTAGCATGACATTTTAGTTTTGTTTATTTCCATGGAGTGAAACAAACATCAAGTTTTCCATCATTTCAGGAAGTGGAAAATTACCAAAAACTTTTCAGAAAGTTCACGTTACCATTAATATCAAATCTCTGAACCTATTCACTTCAATGTATTTAACAGAAAGAAGCTATCAAGTGTAAACATGGTTTATATGCAAATTATATCTTTGTATACACTATAATCTTAGGAGTAATGCTATTTGTTAGGCAACTTAATAAACTCATTTGTAGCAACAAGTTTCCATAAAGACAGTGTAGAAGTATATAGAGAAAATGGAAAGACAGACTATCACCAGATGAAACTTATAAAAAGCCAGAAGTCAAATTTGTTGAGTGACAAAAACCCCTCATTAATATACAATTTACATTATAAAGTGGCAACTACTACTTCCACTTTAACTATTACATAGTTTCAATAAAAATACAGATTCAGCACTGAAAGAATCTGCAACATTTCTACCAGCAAATAACTCAAATCAGTAAGATTCTAAATACTACTGATTTATGTGTAAAAAAATAAATCTAGCAACCCAACCCAAAGCAAGCAATACCAGACAAGAAAATCTTACAAAAACACTGCTACAGTGTCCCTGTAATAATGACAACTTCAGAAAATACCTGTTGCATGTGCTTGTTAGGATTCAAGACTGCCATTATTTATTTTTACTACTTCTTTTCAAAGGCAATAAATGTACTGCATTCCTTTGCCATCTTCATAGTTACATTATTTGGAAAAAGTTACTTCAGTTGATTAACTTAATGACCTAATACACCCAATGGAAGACTCATATGTTTGCAGTTAAGCAGCTATACTCACCTCCTCTTGCTTAAAAAGATCAGATCACCAATGAGTTACGGAACTATATAATAAACAGAAATTTTCCATTCTCAGCTCTGCCTCAGGCTTGCAAAGCTAAAAGTATTGTCAAAACACAAGATGAGAACTTCTCTTTTTGGTTTAAGTTTTTCCACATTAGCATAGGGCTATCAGATCTGGGCTGCAAAAATTCCAGACGACTGCTAGATGACAACAAATAGATACAGAAAACAAACTGTTTCTGCAGCCCTGCATTAGAATCTCAGGATCAGTAATAAATATCAGAGAAGCTTATAGAAGACAATGACTGGGTTGATTTTAAGTACCTACTACTTATAGCAAATATCTGTGAGAAAAAAAATTCTATGAAATCATATAATCACTTATTTCAGCTTCCAAAGATATGGCACTAAAATAAGCCTATCCTGAATTTACATAGTTGCAGAAATTAGTGGATAGAAATGGCAAGGAGCTTTTACCATGAACACCAGTTGCTGGGAAACCCTATCAGAGTCCATAGAAGAATCTTGCAATGTATATGGGGCACTAATTACTTCTAAGGAAATGTTTTATAGTTTCTTTAAGTAGTAGTTATTGCTAATTTAGACTGTATTATATTTATCAGTATACATGATAATTTATAGCAATGTTTGTCAAACTTTCTGAAAATGTTCAGAAAGCATGGGGAACATCCAATTAAACAAACACCCTCTCTCTATGTTTTCATCTTTAAGAGCAGAGGAGTTCATGTTTTTCAATGAGTAAAATAATAATTGTGTATGCAAATTTTGCACCAAAACATATAATACAAAATTAAATATATAATTACCATTTAAGGCAGATGCTGAGGTGGCAACCAGCCTCTGTTCTGGCAAGCTAACCATTAATGTATATAGGTAGGAGGGGCTGAGGTGCCAAGCAGGCTGTCAGAAATCTCAAGTGTACCAGCACTCAGCTGGCCAGAGTCTGCTCACCACTTCAGACCTGCCTCTCTGCATGTAGCAGAAGTCAAGTGACCAGAACCCACTCACTGCCTAAGCCCTGCCTCCCCACATACACTGACAGTCAGCTTGTCATTGATTATCAGTGAAGAAAGGGAGATAGTTTGGGGCAGTGGGAGGATTCTGGCCAGTGGACACAAGAAGGCTATAGCACTCCATTTGGTGGACTTCCACGGAGAAAAAGACATACAGAAAGGAAAAAGTAATAGGTGATATTTATACCACCCAAAGATTTATTTAGTTGTGGAACAACTCTGATTATATTTTAGAGCCTTCATTTAATCCATAAATAGAAATAAGTTCTGAATATTTTAGTTCAACAAGTCATCAAAAGCCATCTTTAAAATTTAGATTTCTGCCCCTAACATGGGAAAAAAAGAAACAGCATCTTATTTCAATATGAAATTTCAGAACTAGGGCTCCTATTAGGGTTAATACTTGCCCTATATAATAAGGGTAACAGTAGCAGAATTGTTAAAATGCTCTGAAGCCGTCATATAATAATTTCCCCTTATAGGTCTGCTTTGTTAACAAAGCTATTGCATGTGTTTTTAATATTTACTCATTTGTTAGCAAAGTAAAAAACTATATTACATGTTAAATTACATGCAAACACTAATCAAGAGTTTATATACATGTATCTCCTCTACAGGTATTAGTGATTACATATAATTTAAGTTTAAACATGTATTATATGTAGCTATAAATGTATCAAGGATATAATTTTAAACTCACTCTGGATTATGCCTACTGAATTAAATGAGACTTATTTTTGAGTAACCATGTAAAAGACCGTACATTAGTAATGAATCTAGAAGATTTACAACTACTGTTATAAACTATTCACAAGTACAAATCCTGCCCACCCCATCCTGCTTGTTATCTTTTCTCTTTCAAAACATATCACGAAGAAGCAAATAGAATATAAGACAATGACAGAAGGCCAATATATTTTAAATTGTGGGACTATTTTTCAGATACAACTGAACAAACCTCATCTAGGAAATCAGTTAAAATAAACATGTTACCTAATAATTAGTTTATCAGGTAGCATAAAAGATTATCTAGCTGACCTTCATCCCGACAGAGTCCTATCACTACAAATACACTGTTTATGAATAAGTTGTTGCTAGAGGTTTCATAAAAAATTGAGTGACATTTATTTGATGTATATCATGTATATGCTGCCAATCCCAGTAACTCTTAAGCATTTACAATTAAAACTATTCAATTAATTAAAACAGTGTAAACCATCAATATAAAAATTCCTCAAAACCTGACTAAAGTATCAGTTTTAAGTTGGCTCCTAAACTTTAAAAAGGCCAGCCTCAACTTCAATGACAAATTAATCCATAATATAGACCCTGTCATGGAAAAGTTAGAATCTGTGGTAGGAACCAAAGGCTGTTCCTTAAATTGGGTCCAGAAAGCAACTGCTAACCAGTGCAATTGTTGAAATTCCACTCCCCACTCATCCCATCACATTCTGAGGCAGTGACAGTTTGCAGAATGTTTTCAAGGGCTGTCTCATGAACAGTGCATTGCAAATGCAGTAGTTTAACCTTGAGGTTACCAATACTCTTTTTTCCAAAAATCGAATACATCTACCAAAGTAGATATGCCCCCCTCCTTGCCATTCATTAATGCCTTTTAACATTAATGCTGAGAAGAATGACTTCCAGTATGGGAACAAAACAATAAGGATCTGGAATCAACAGAGTTGGTCTTATACTGTATACACTAGTCCTTTTTTCTCTTTTGCCCTCATACATTTCTAGCTAATTTTTGAAGCTTCAAAGCTGAAGAGATGGCTGGCCATTTTACTGCCATGGTGAACAGTCTTGTGAAAGACTGCTTCAGAAACTAAGAGAAACTTCCTCATTTTCATATTTGTTCAAGGGAAGAATAGACATTACACTATTCTTTTGTTCTGCTTTCAAGACTATCTTCCTAATTTGTCAGTTAAATCACTAAGATTTTTTTCAAGTGGCCAGGCTGAAATACCCTCAAATAGAGAATAAAACTGAACTACACAAAAGGGTTTGTTCCACAACTCCACAAAATTCTGGGATAAATGTCTATCTTTAAAACAAATATTGGTCAAACTTTTATGGGATAAGTGTTACACTCTCAGTTCTACTGACAGCTAGGATTAATCAAACAGGATTGCCAGAATGAAATCTGAACTCCTGTATTCAAGCCCAATAACTTTACATACATGTATATTTGTCCGTGCTCTTGAATCAAGTTTTTATACTCCCTGCAGTTCCCTTTCCAGATCTTTGACTCATTACCTCTTCTCAGAAGGAGTACCAGCACTCTGATTTTGCAACCTATAAAAGAAACTCCTACTAAAATTAGCCAGATAGTTCTTTTTGAAAGATTCACCAACTGTTAATGCCACTCTTAAGAGAGAGAGAGAGAGAGAAAGACAGAGAGAAAGAAATGCGTGCTTTAGAATAAGGCACTTTACAGGGAGGAGAATCAGTGGTTTTGACATGGCCTCGAAATGTGAAGCCCAGCCTCCTTGACAAATTCTGACCGACCCAAATCCAGTGATCGATCTTCCGGAAATTCTCAACTATAACGTCCTCCCCACCTCCAACACAAACGGAGTTTTCTGTTTTTCCTCTACCGCTTCTCACTTTTACACGAGAGGAGGGCGCGGGCCCTTTCCGCTCGCACAGGCTGAGGGCCCCACAGCCCTCCTCCTTTCCCTGGCCTCCAGTCCCAGGACTGAGAGAAGAAAGGGGGCGGTGCCCAGGCCCAAATCCCTTCCAAAGCGTCGGGGAAAAAAGAGACGGGAAGGCGAGCTAGGGCCTGCTGCTTTTCCGTTCCTCCTCGTCCCGCGGTGAAGACCCCCTTCCCTGCGGGGAGAAAGGAGCGAAGAAGACCCGAACCTTATTACCTTCCCGGTATTTCTTGCGCAGGCGCCGGTGGACGCTCTTTACCACCCCGGAGAGCTTCTCCTGCTGCAGTTTCCGCTCTTGTTCTCGGGGCTGAGGCAGAGGCAGGGTAGGGGTCCCGGGCTCAACCTCCATGGTGGTAGCACGAGCGCTCCGCGACCTCCCTCCTTCCGTTTCCCCAGAAGGGGGCGGCGGCCGCGGTCTCTATGGCACGGCGGACAGGGTAGGTTTGCGAATGGGAAGGGTCATGTGACCACTGCATCCCCGGAGCCTGTTGGGAAATGTAGTCTTCACGCCCGAAGGCCTCTTGCTGCTGCTGTTCTTTTGAGTCTAAGTCTCAGAGCGGACCAGCTGTACCCAATGGGAAGAGTCAGAAAGGGTTCATAGCACCTTTTAAGATTAACATCTTTCACTGTAAGGCATAAGCTTCGTGAGCTGCAGCTCACTTCATCAGATTATGGAAGCATGTGCCTTATAATTACAGTGACCTTACGTCCTTTATTTCGGAAAGCTGTCCTTTGGATTTAATTATTTATTTTCATGGTTTTGCTCTTGAACTTTCCTTTGTAAAGCAGAGTTATAAACATAAACTTCTTTGTACTGTCGAAGGCTTTCACGGCTGGCATACGATGGCTGGTGTGGGTCTTCCGGGCTGTGTGGCCGTGTTCTTGAAGTTTTGTTTCCTAATG